CCAATGAAATGTGGTCACTATCATGATTACTTCTAAGGTTCATTCCTTCATAAAACCTATTTTCATCAAAAATTCTTGTTTTTCGTAGCCATTTCATTAATAATAAGATTTACTAAAATATTTTCTGTAGAAGCTTTTACAGCGATGAAACTTTTCTTTGTAATCTTCTTATTTTTCCTTGTAGAGCTAACTCTTCAAGGAGTAGCCCCACCAAAACATTTAAAATTTTCATTTTCATATCGCTATATTTCAATAAGAGATCATTTTATCTTAATAAACTTTTGATGTATCTCGGTTAGAAAGACCACTTACCTACGATAGTTTACAAATTGAGTAAACATTGAATAGCTACAACGTGTTGTGAGCAACCGTGAAATACTCACATCGCGTTGTGGATACCTTTTGGTGTCCACAACGTGTTTTGAGTAAACACTAAATACTGACAACGCGTTCTAGGTACGTTTTGGTGTCCACAATGTGCAAAATTGGTTAATTTCGGCTATTTAGTAAACCTAAATACCCCCAACGCGTTGTGAGTATTTTAAGCTACTCAATGAGCAGAGAAATTGTTCAGAACGCGTTGTAATCATTTAAGCTTACCCACAACGCGTTGTAGGTTAAAATTTCAGATAATGTCCGAATTCGGGTATTACGAGTAACATTTCTACCTTTAATATAATTTATTGTTGCTTCTACTACTTTCCTAGTTTTTTTTTCAATTTTTATATTTTTAGCTGTACTGGGTATGCCGTTAAGGCTACGGAGTTGTTGTATCATAACAATGATGTTTATAAAAAATAAGAAATTATATTAATTTGCATTAATTCTTCATTAAATTTGCTTTAAAATGTTCTTTATTTTATGATGATATCTCAATTCGTTCTTGAGATACGATTTTTTTTAATTTATATTTCATGACACAAAAATAAGGGATGATACATAATCCAACGTCTTGGCTGCTTCGTTTTAATAATTTGTTGGGCACCTGATTCTTTTGCAGAAAGTGTTAAACATTGAAATTCGATTAGTGCGTTTTATTTTAGTAAAATAACGTAAGTTTTATTTGAAATGTTTCGAGAAAACGAGTAATTTTTTTATTGAAAGGTTGAGTTTTAAAACCAAAAAACGATTTAAAACCGCTCCGACCCGTCGTCTTTACATTTTTTGTTTATTCACCTCCAGTATTCCTTCTTCACACAATAAATTAAGGAGGGGATGTTTGGAAGTTGATTCGCTAATAACGCATTTTAGTTGATGTGCGGGCATTTAAGGGTGATAAAGTAGTTTAGAAAAATAAAACTTATTACTTGAATTAAGTGATAAATACGTGCTATATTTATGCTAAGTGCTAGGTGATATAAGTGATGTGATATAGTTGAGATCATCGGATTGCTATTTTATGGATGTTAAAAGGTATCATATTAATTCATTTTTTTTGTCACAATAAATTAATTTATCTTTTCTTTCCAGCTGAGCTTCGAAGTAAAATCCAAGGGAAACAACATCCATTCGGTGAGTCGTTTTCAATTTTATTAATTTACCAAAACATATCGGGATAATTCGCGATTTGAACGGTGTAATGTTGCCAGATAAAAACCGTTTGAACGCTACTCATTGGATTTGTGCTTGAAAAACAGTACCATTCAATAAATTTTTACATTTTGTGCTTGTAAAATTATAAAGCTTTAATTATTAACATTGTCAAGACATGAAATAATTTGAAATTGAGTCTAAACCACCCCAAATAATACTAGTATAATCTACTTCAAGGTTTTTAAGGGGGAGTCTCTTTTTTTATATCAAATAAAACAATTTCTTTGGGAATTTTTGGCTGCCAAATTCTATGGTATTTCAATTTAATCTTTGCATATGTTTTCATGATATTAAATCTTCATTAAATTGGCTTTAAAATATTTTTTATTTCATGATGATATCTCAATTCGTTCTTGATATACGATTTTTTTAAAATTTATTTTTCATGACACAAAAAATAAGGGTTCATGCATAATCCAACGGCTTGGCTGCTTCGTTTTAATTATTTGTTGGACATCTGATTCTTCTGGAGGAAGTGTTAAATATTGAAATTCGATTACTTGCGTTTTATTTTAGTAAAATGTCATAAGTTTTATTTGAAATGTTTCGAGAAAACGAGTAATTTTTTTATTGAAAGGTGAAAACCAAGAAACGATTTAAAACCGCTTCGCCCCGTCGTCTTTACATTTTTTGTTTATTCACCTCCAGTATTCCTTTTTCACAATAAATTAAGGAGAGNACGTAAGTTTTATTTGAAATGTTTCGAGAAAACGAGTAATTTTTTTATTGAAAGGTGAAAACCAAGAAACGATTTAAAACCGCTTCGCCCCGTCGTCTTTACATTTTTTGTTTATTCACCTCCAGTATTCCTTTTTCACAATAAATTAAGGAGAGGATGTTTGGAAATTGATTCCCTAATAACGCATTTTAGTTGATATGCGGGCATTTAAGGGTGATAAAGTAGTTTAGAAAAATAAAACGTATTACTTGAATTAAGTGATAAATACGTGCTATATTTATGCCAAGTGCTAGGTGATATTAGTGATGTGATATAGTTGAGATCGTCGGATTGCTATTTTCTGGATGGTAAAAGGTATCGTATTAACTCATTTTTTTGTCACAATAAATTAAATGATCTTTTCTTTCCAGCTGAGCTTCGAAGTAAATCTCAAGGGAAACAACATCCATTCGGTGAGTCGTTTTCAATTTTATTAATTTCCCAAAACATATCGGAATAATTCGTGATTTGAACGGTGTAATGTTGCCAGATAAAACCCGTTTGAGCGCTACTCATTGGATTTGTGCCTGAAAAACGGTATCATTCAATAAATTTTTGCATTTTGTGCTTGAAAAATTATAAAGCTTTAATTATCAACAATGTCAAAAGATGAAATAATTTGAAATTGAGTGTAAACCACTCCAAATAATACTAGTATAATCTAATTCAAGCTTTTTAAGGGAGGAGTCTCTTTTTTTGTATCAAATAAAATGATTTCTTTGGGAATCTTTTTGCTGCCAAATTATGTGGTATTTCAATTTGATATTTTGCGTGTATTTTCATGATATATTTACTTATTTAGAAAGAATTGTTTATAGAAAATAATCTTTACATTATCTCTCAACCAAGTTGGTGCGTGGATTGTCTAAGTTGCTGGTTGACACAATATCTATCCTTGAAATGATCTAAAACTCAAAAATCAAATGATTTTCTTTTCTATATACTAGTGACTATCGTTTGAACTAGAGCTAAGCAAAAAAAACATTATTGGCAAAATGGCGCCTAGTCAAATTAAGATAATCGATTTTATATAGGACATATGAGGTATAAAAGATGTAAAATGAGCACGTCGGATTGCTATTTTCTGGATGTTAAAAGGTATCGTATTAATTCATTTTTTTTGTTACAATGAATTAATTGATCTTTTCTTTCCAGCTGAGCTTCGAAGTAAAATCCAAGGGAAACAACATCCATTCGGTGAGTCGTTTTACTAAACATGGAAAAAAACTCGCCCTGTATAAGTGTTTAATAAGACCAGTGGTAACGTACGAATGCGAAACATGAACGCTACTAAAAAAGTTCGAAAGGAGAATAGTAAGAAGGATATTTAAACCAGTACAAGAACAAGATGGAACATGGAGAACTGGAATGAATTTTGAACTCAATGCCCTGGTTGGTGATGCGGACATAAGCAGATTTGATAAATCTCAGCGAATTAGATGGCTGGGACACATAAGAAGAATGGAAGACGATAGAAGTGCAAAAATCCTCACATAATGGAAGCCAACAGAGTAAAGACCTAGAATAAGACCTCGGATGATGGTTGGACAACGTGAAAGAATGCTTGAGGGCGATGAGAGTGAGAGACTGGTGGAGAGTGGCTAAGAGTAGACGGGGATGGTGTAGAATTATTGAGGAGGCAAAAACCCACCAAGAGCCAAAGGAAGAAGAAGAAGAAGAAGAAGGTGGATAGGCAGAAGAAACCCTATTAGATGGCCGCCACGTTCTGCTGATTTGAAAAAATTGGATTTCGTTCTGTAGGAATATGGAAAGAGCTTGGTATTTGAAAAACCACCAACAACAAAAGAAAATATGACGAACCGTGTTCGCGATGCGTTTGGAACAATCAACGTAAACGTAATTAATAAGGCTTTCCGAAGCCTTAGAAAAATACAGGCTGTTTCCTTTAAAATAACAAAGTTATGGTTCTCCAAACATTGCAATAACATTCAATAGTACTAGCGGTGTTTGAAAGACCCAAGCTTTGTTTATCAACATGCCAAATTGCAATCTTCAATATTTCACAATAATGCTGATGACGAATTTTAAGTGATCACAAGAATTTTCAAAAATTTTTACAAAATAATGAATAACACGGCAACCTTACATTTTTCCATTTAAAAAAATTAAGTTGAATGCGATCCTGCAATAGCGAAACACCCAGTATAGCTGAAAATAACTTTGATAGATGCAGCTTTAATAGTAATTTTCAACACAAAGCCACTATCTTCCGTCCCCGCACTATTGAGTGACCCTGTATAATAGTATTGATGATGTCATTAATAGTTACGTTGCTTTTAACGTAAAAATAATAACCACAATATGTTTCAACTGTACTTGAAAATTTATTATTCGTTTCGTATAATTTTGTGTTGCGTTTTAAACGGCTTGCAATACTTCGTCGATTTATTACTTTTAAGTAAATGTACTTGGAATATTGTTGAATTAGTAAATAATAATTTTCAGGAGTGAATATACTAATAGTGTAATAAAAAACATTTATGTTTGAAGATATTATAACACCGAAAGAAACTTAATAGGATGAACTTAAGATAAAATTTTGGTGATTACGAAATAATATAATCTTTTATATATTTATAATTTTTTAGCTCAAGGCCACTAAAAAATATATTCATTAATTTAACATCTCAAAAATTTAAATTAATATTTAAATAATAAACAAGTAAGATTACTTCGTAAACGTTTATTTATTTTTAATTTCTAACAATTCATCAATTTTTTTAAAAGAATTATTTAAAATCTGTTGTAAATCTTCTCTATTGATGTTGGTTTGTTTGTCAGATATTAAAGTGGCGTGAAGTTTTCCATTAAATGAAAACAAAGTCAACCCAAATTCTGAAGAGAAAAAAGAAATTGTGTATGATGTTTAAATGAAAATTATTTATACATACTTGGTCCGCCGAAATGATTTACAAACAGAAAAGATTTTTCCACATTTATATCGCCTATTTTTCCAGAATCAGGTCCCGGTATATTTGTGAAAGCTAAGCAAGTTTTTTTTACGCTTACAGTTATGAATGAGTTCATAAGAATTTGAGGGAAAAGCGTAAATATTTTTGCAAGAAAATATAGAATCTAAAAAAGGGAATCAATTTTGGTCAAAAATTGTTTATTAAAAACTGTTGACATACTTGAAAATTTGCCGTATTTCTCTGTTTCTTCACTTCTTGAATCCAAGACTTTATTTTTATATAAAAATTCTCCTCTGTTTTACAAGGGAATTTATAACACTGAACCGTTACATCATTTCTTAAAAGGTTCCACACTGTATTAATATTTTCATTAATTTCTCTACATGTATTTCCAACTATTATTTCATTTGGAACATCATTTTTCTATAAAATTAAGAAATTTTATATTTAAAAAAGTTTGCAAATTCACTGTGTTATCATGAAGTAAGTTCTCTGGTACGAATAATAAGTAAATAAGAAAGTAATGATTAATATTATATATACATATTTCTTTAACAATAAAACATTGCACCAAAATATTCGAGATATGATAACTCCATTCTTCTCCCGCAAGTCTTATAGCATCAACTTACGCATGGTACTTGACACCAAGTTGAGGAGGAATTCAGGTTAATAAGAAAAAAAAAGAAGACATGAACATAAAATTTAGATGATATAAAGGGCTAATAGGAAGATGTTTTAACCATTGAAAAGGTTGGTGGCCAAATTTAGGTGTGGTAAGGAAGAGGAGGCAAATAGATATTGGATGGAGAATGTAGAGAGGTGGTGCAGACTATGAGGTGAGGGATTAACAACTTTATTCCAAAAATAGGAATAAAAGGCAGCAAGATCCAAAAGCTTTTCAGTCTATTTGATTACTTTATTCATCAACATGATTATGTTGAGGATGAATTTATCGGTACAACTTTACGTATGGAGTGAAATGAGTCGAGAAGGATTTTCGTACTTCACAGTGAGCGTTTTGTGTTTTCTCGACATCCAACACTCCCTGCACTCCCTGTTTGGTAGAATCACTTTTAGAAATATCAACCAGGGATTCACTTATTACTACGAGCAGTATAAAAAGTATATTTACGAGAAATGCCGTTCAAACTAGACAAAAGGTCTCAAAGTACAGAGTATCATTGTAGGTGATTGATCGCAATAGAAGGTATCTTTGTTTCAGAAACAAAATATCTCGGTGTAGCTTTCGACGCAGGCTATTGTGTAACTTTGGTGGATAATAAAAAGGATATCGTCCCATATCTGATGTTCGGCACAAAAATATACCCATCGTGTAATAAAACTTTATGGTTTAGCATGTGAAAAGCAAGTGTGCCAAAAACTTGCAGGGATATCCAGGTAAATGTGTTACGAAGGCTGAAGAGCAGCAAGAAAACCGTGTAGTGATGGACTTAACTTCACCTTTAGGTCAAGGTTGTTGTGTTAATGTGGTTTGAAAAATTTTTAGACCACACTTGATTTATATTGAAGACGCGTGGCCATGAAAATAGAAACATCCCCTTTCGGAGATCAACACACGGTGGATGAGGCATTGAGGATATTACTGGAGAGTATAAGTCAAGCGACCGAAGAAGCACTGGGGAAAAGAATAGTGAAATTAACCGCACGTCATGGTAATCATAAGCCATGGTTCACACCAGAGGTGAACAGTGCTCATTTAACATACAGAGGCAACAAGTCGCCCAGGAACTAGTAGGAAAAGCTACTTCATGGACCTGTATTCACAAAGCAGAGACCAACGACCTGAAAAGCGACATACACTGCGACGAGAAGATACAATAAACATCGACGAAGACATACAAATTGCAGTAGAAGGGGTGATGAGTGTAATGAAACATCTCAAAAAGAGCAAAGCCCAAGGCCCGGACAACATCCCCAATGAATTATTGAAAAACAGAAGAGAAGAACTAGCAGAACAGTTTACCAAATTATACAGTAAGATACTGAAAGACGTAACAACACCAGATAAATGGAAAAAGAACGTCACAATACCACTGTTCAAACAGGGAAAAACATCGAATCCGGCAAATTATCGGGAAATATCCCTACAGAACACCTCTATGAACCTATTTACTCACATACTGGGTCAGCCCATCTTGCACCATACCACTTTGAGTGAAGAACAACAAGGTTTCCGGAAGAATCGTTCGACGGTCGACACGGTTTTTGTTATTAGGCAAGTAATAGAAAAGACCATTGAATATAATAAACATTTATAGACCTGACTAAAAGCTGTATTCGATAGACTACAGCTAACGGATGTTGTGGAAGAACTCAAGCGCAAGGGTCTACACTCTAACAGAACGACTTCTACCGACGACATAGAAATCAACACGGGGGTGAGACAGATGCATAGTCTTAGTTCATTGCTCTTTATTCTAATAATGGACAAAATAATATCCAGTGTGTGGAAAGTGAATCATAAAGGTCGTGCTATGCGGACGATGCACCGCTATTTGACAGTGGTTGCTGCAGGAATTTAATAAATATGTCCAGAAGTTCAACATGGAAGTGTCAACCTCTAAAACAAAAAGCATGGTCATTGCTAGGGAACGACGACGATGTAAACTAGAGCTGAACAACAGAATAATCGAACAAGAACTTAACTATCTAGGCATAATAATCTCACCATATTATGGAAACTTGGAAGAGAGTGTGAAACATCAGATGAGTAAAGCAGCCACGATAGCGGGTTCCCGGAGAAACATCGTTTGGAAAAATAAGTGCATGACAACTGCCAATAGAGCGAGGATATACAAGGCATATAATTTATGGCTGAGTTTGATATCTGCATTCCTAAAAAAGCTACAAAAAATGTTAAAAGAGTACATGTCAAAGAATCTCTCATTACTGAAAAACTATAAGCGATAGATAAAAATGTTATGATTAAAAATTGTTGATATTGAACCAAACAAGAATACTACATAACAAAGTTCCAGCCTAGTTATCACCATTTTCTACAGATAAAGCGTAAATTTCCAAAATGTCAATATTAATTGTTTATATTAAAGAATCTATCATTACTCAAAAACTATAAGCGATAGATAAAAGTTTTGTGATTAAAAATTTTTGATATTGAGCTAAACAAGAATACTACATAACAATGTTTCAGCCTAATTATCAACATTTTCTAGGAATGACGCGAACATCTTCAAAATGTCAAAATTAATTGTTTATATTAAAGAATCTATCATTACTCAAAAACTATAAGCGATAGATAAAAGTTTTATGATTAAAAATGGTTGATATTGCACCAAACAAGAATACTACATAACAATGTTTCAGCCTAATTATCAACATTTTCTAGGAATGACGCGAACATTTTCAAAATGTCAAAATTAATTGTTTATATTAAAGAATCTATCATTACTCAAAAACTATAAGCGATAGATAAAAGTTTTCTGATTAAAAATGGTTGATATTGCACCAAAAAAGAATACTACATAACAATGTTTCAGCCTAATTATCAACATTTTCTAGGAATGACGCAAACATTTTCAAAATGTCAAAATTAATTGTTTATATTAAAGAATCTATCATTACTCAAAAACTATAGGCGATAGATAAAAGTTTTGTGATTAAAAATTGTTGATATTGCACCAAACAAGAATACTACATAACAATGTTTCAGCCTAATTATTAACATTTTCTAGAAATGACGTGAATATTTTCAAAATGTCAAAATTAATTGTTTATATTAAAGAATCTATCATTATTCAAAAACTACTAGCGATAGATAAAAGTTTGGTGATTAAAAATTTTTGATATTAAACCAAACAAGAATACTACATAACAAAGTTCCAGCCTACTTATCACCATTTTCTACAGATAAAGCGAAAATTTCCAAAATGTCAAAATTGATTGTTTATATTAAAGAATCTATCATTACTCAAAAACTATAAGCGATAGATAAAAGTTTTATGATTACAAATGGTTGATATTGCACCAAACAAGAATACTACATAACAATGTTTCAGCCTAATTATCAACATTTTCTAGGAATGACGCGAACATTTTCAAAATGTCAAAATTAATTGTTTATATTAAAGAATCTATCATTACTCAAAAACTATAAGCGATAGATAAAAGTTTTATGATTAAAAATTGTTGATATTGAACCAATCAAAAATACCTGATAATAGTGATAAAGGTCTTGTACTATGCGGACGATGCAACGCTATTTGCGGGCAGTGAGTACCCAGAAGGGGCCCAGAAGCTCAACATGGAAGTGCCAACCTCCAAAACAAAGCATGATAATTGCTAGGAAACCACGACGATGCAAGCTAGAGCTGAACAAGAGAATAATCGAACTTAACTATTTAGAAACTAACTAAGAAACATCATTTGGAAGAATAAGTGCATGACAACTCCCAGTAAAGTGAGGATATAGATGGTATGTGTTAGACCTGTGATGACATACACCGCGGAAACTAGAGCTGACAAGGCTGAAACCAAAAGGATGGCGCGTTACGTTAAGAGACCCAAGAAGGAGACACATTAAGAAGAAACACATTAAGAGACCAAAGAAGGAGTAATGAGATCAGAGAAGAATGCCAAGTGGAATGCCAAGTGGATGTAGTAAGATGGATCTGAGGGAGGAGAAGATTTTCGAATGAACATGTGCCATGGGTGACGAATGACAGATTGATAAAATTGCTAGAAATGGAAATCTAATGAACGACATTCGGGAAGACCGTCCAAAGGATGGAAGGATCGTTGTACTTCAAAATCGCAGGCACGAGAACGAGAGGAGGAGGATAAGATGGGTAAAATAAGCTATTAGGTTTCGCAAAGAAGAAGAAAAATTTTCAGTTTTTTATTTTAAGAAAAGGAAAATTTGGGTGTCCAATAGAATGAAGTATAGGAGAATAAAAAATCATAAAGAAGCCGAACAGCAACACTAATTAACGTTACAATGTGACAAATGGTGCAGAAAAAAAAACAGAAATCTAGATGTAAATGAAGCTCTGTATATTGGTATCCCTTATAAAGTCTAAAGGAAAATTTCGAGCAACGAACCCAAAAGATTAACTTTTCCATTAACCCAGATATGCCTAAATTAAAACCACTTTACAAATCATAATAACTTTATTGAAAACTTATTTAAAGAAGCAAAACAAAGTCTTACAAACAAACCATGACAATGTGTTTTTTTTTAAATTTGAAATTCGGGCCGTCCTACATGTAGGACATTCGGCACATGAATATCTATAAACGTAAAATTATTTATTAGTGTGATACTGAACAAAACACTTCGTGTGTACACCAATGTCACATTTTGCGCATCTCGTTGTAGTTTTTTGATGGCAATGAGCACACCTAGTTTGTTTTTCTTGGGGCATAACTAAATGATCTATTCGGTCGAACCGTATATCTATTTCGTGGGACCTACTGGTATGTCCTTTTTGATATGACGATGTTTTTTTATTCTGAACCAACAGCATTACAGCAATTCTCCTTCTAAAACTAAGTTGATCTAATTCTCCTCCATTCTTGCGATGCAAATGCCATGCGTTTTGAATTGCCATGTCAATACAGTGAGATATCAAAGGAAAATACCATTTTTTTCCTCTGATCGAAATTCGATATAAGCTGATATTTTGGTCAGAGCGGTCGACACCTCCCATATTTGTATTGTACATCTGTATAAGATGCGGCTGCTGTACCTGAATATTCTTCTTTTCTTTTTGCGAATAACGTGTGACCGAGTGAATTGGGGCAACTCCAGAAAAATTGGAACAAACAGAAACTACACTATTATCGTGCCACTTTACTGCAATTATATTCTGTTCTACAATTTTTGCATAATCATAACTTCCTCTGCGCTGCTTCTTTATGAGTTTTGAATCTATAAGAGAAATGTCTTTTAGCCTGTTTTCTCTAACCGTACCAGTAGCATAAAAATTCCAGTCAGTTAGTTTTTCGATCAACGGAATTGACGTAAAAAAGTTATCAAAAAAGAGATGAAATTTTTTATCTGGCCATTCCTTACGTAAAGCTTGCGCATATTCTAAGACTACTCCAGCACCAACTCCCAATTCAGAAAAGTTTTCACTTATATTTGTAGAGGCTCCTTGATAAGGTTCGAACCAATTCAAGTAACCTAACCTGGTACTTCCTACCCATAACTTATATCCATAGCGCATGGGTTTTCCTCGAATATACTGCTTACAGCTATGACGTCCATAATACGGAACCATAGCTTCATCAACTGAGTGCATTTCTTCAAGCGAGGAATTCTCCATGAATTTTTTATTCAACAGTGTGAAAAGCGGCCTTAGTTTAGCGAATTTGTCACCCTGGTCCAACTGCTGATTATCACAGACGTGAAGATTAGAAAACAAATACTCAAACCGGTCCCTTGTAATTGCTTCTGTAATCATGACGTTATGGCAATCTTTTTCACGTTCCCAGAACATCCTCCGTCTCGGTACTTGCATATATCCACTAAGTATCAAAACGCCTATAAAAGCGTTTACTTCCTGCTTTTCTATATTCGCTTTTCTATTTTTTTGTTGTGCGTACTTATTACTCTGATTCAAAATCAATCAGCTCTAAGGGGTTTTCTGTGATCGCCGAATTCGTAGGACTATCAAAGTCGGTGGGCGGTAATTTCAAATCTTCTTTTATCCAACTGTAGTGCATCTGTCTCTTTTTAGTTTTTACTTTTTGTTTGTTTCTTGCTGCCTTTTTTTGTGATTGTAACTCTAATAGAGGTATATTGTCATCTGATGAAAAATCACTGTCGTAGTTACTTTCAATTACGATTTCCACCGGCGCTTGTAACTGTGATGCCGGTAGGTTATTCACTGTAAGATCATTTTCTGCTCCAGAATCTTCATCTATCAGGTCGGCTGCAGCGTTTACAGGAGGAAATATAGTTATTTCATCAACCTGGCTGACAATGTCGTCATTGTCCTCAAGCATAGCAAGGGCTTCATGAAGAAAAAACCCCCTGTAATTAGATGAACGTGATAGTCGTTTATTATCCTAATGTCCTATATATAGTACACCCGTCTTTCACCCCCCTAATTTATACTCTAATTTACTGAATAATGCAAAACTTTTAAATAATACTAATTATACAACTATTTATTGTTACTGTAATCAAAGAATCATAATATTATTCTAATTTCTATAATTGCAAATTACCTTACCTTTCAAAGCGAACCGGGCAATAATCCATTTCCAACTTATCTTGACTTTCGGATGCACTTAAAACAAAATCTAAAGAAAACACCTAAACTGCAAGTTATCACTCTCACTGCTACATCTAAAATGCACGACTTCATGTGACGTGAGCATTTCCAGGAGATCATGACCTTGCAAGTTTCAACAGGAATTGACCGTCCTAAATGTAGTACATTAGGCATATCTGGGTTAATCGTTTTAGAGTTTTCAAAGGACAGTAGATCAGGTAAATAGTCGACTATCTTTCGAAAAATTTAAGACATGAATTGACACTTAATTAACCAATATTTGATTATTGTGTATCAATAGATTCGTTTATTTAGCTTTATTAAAAAAATGGAAATCTTACCATCTTCAAATGATCCAAAATACCATCACTACAAGTAGTAACAACAATGTCAGTAAACGTACATTGAAACTCTCGACTTAATATCGGAATTAATTTGAGATATTTTCGTTCATCTTCAATATAAACTGCTAAATGTTGCGTACAACTTTTCAAAGATTCCAAATAATCACTTTTTATGTTATAACAATTCAAGATAAATTCAATAATCGTTGATTTTTTCAAAATTTCTTTTGACTTTTTCGATTTAATGAGGGCATGTTTAAATTTTTCTTCAACAGCGTTATTCAAAAAATATTTGTTTTGAAACGCCGTTAAACGCATTCCATCTCCTAGACAGTGATTAAATGTTATTACAACTGGATAATAATCATTACCACCCCAATTTACAGTATTTTTAAGGATTAATACATTCCATAATTTTAGTTTACTGTTCAATTCGTCGAAATGGTTTGATTCAAGGTGGTTTATGAATTCTTCTTTAGTTAAATAATCATTATCGACGGTAGTAATGATGTCGTTAATATCTACGTTATTTTTAACATAGAAATAAAGCCCACAACAACGTTGAATTGTACTTGAAAATTTATAATTCGAATTAAATAAATTTTGTGTTGCGTTTTTAACGGATTTAATCACTTCGTCGGAAGATTTATTGTTTTCAAGTAAATGTACGTAAGATATTGTGATATTTAAACGTTCTAATAAAGTATCTATGCCCAAAAATCCACCGAATTGATTTTTATATTGTATCCGTAAATAAATATTCAAAATTATCATAAATAATAGAGATGGCGCGAGAAGGCATAATCCCAAAAGTATTAAAAAAATACTTAAAAATGTTATTAATATTTGTATAAGAACATTTCCTTCCTTCGGTTGGAATGTGTAGAAAATTATTTCCTAGAAAGTATTTTTTTTATTGTTTTAATTTAATTTTAATTGATTTACCTTCGATAAAGAATGAACACACATAAAAACGGTGTTAAAAAAATCCATATTTGTAGATGTTGGTAGCGCGACAACACTTAAGACAGTAAAATTTCGGTGATTATGCAATGATCTTATATGGATATTTTTTTTTTGGGTGAAGGTTATTGTATATATTTTTTATATCTTTAGACGTCATAAAACCAGGAATAAAAAAAAGCTTAAAAAATTCTAATTAATATTTCAGCGGCAACTTTTTTAAATACTTCATAAAAAATAAGTTATCTAATAAAATAAAATTAATGAAATTGTTTGGATTAATTTATTTATTTTTTCCTTAAACTTTAAAAAGGAACATCAGCTTATATTTTTTTTTCACGATAATACAACATTCGTTATACAAATCTTCTACTCTTAAAAACATACATTTTTGGTCTTTTTTACTAAACACTGAATCGCTTAATACTAACAGATAAAAATCCATATAAAAAATAACATTCATCTCAAAAATCAATTTCTGACTAGAATTTTTTCTTCGCCATTTAAAAATAATTTTAAACATCAGTCCCATCCGTAGTTATTCTTTCGACTTTCCCTTCAATTTGAATTTTAGTCTCTTTCTTAACCAACGGCGATTTCAAAAAGAATTTCGAATCCTTTTTCGAGAGTAGTTTCGGCGAAGGAAGCGAAATCAAATTGTTCTTTGGCTTCAAACTGTTATTACCGTCCACGTCGATCGTTATTTTCTTATCGGGGAAAAACGGTGAAGTTTTATCTTTTCGATTGAGATCAAGTGATTTTACGCCCGGCGATAAACTTCGCGATTTTGAATTGACCGCTGGCTCGGAAAGCAATCTTGGGACGGTTTTCAAAAATCCTTCGATATTTGATGGAGCGGAAACTGGAGTGTGTGGTGCTGATTGACTTACTGTAGCTCTTGGCATTGTTAACATTGGTGTTTCTTTATCTGTCGATTTTGAACCATCTAATTGATTTGCTGAACCAAGTTGACGCATATTTGGTTGTGACCTAAAAGAAAATAATACATGTATGTACATTACAAAAACATGTTTTCGAGATAAATGCGAAATAAACTTAATATAACTAATTTTACATAGTGGCAAGTTAGACAAAATAGGTTTCGATAAACTGTGTATGTAATGATCACGAAACCTTCGGATGACCTCTGCGAAGTCTGTCGAAATAATTCATTAACACAAGCCATTGTCAAGATCTAATAAAAGAATAGCTGCTGCAAAAAGCTTCAATACATACTTTAATCTAATACAGTAAGATCCTCCCGCTTCTTTAGATGATGAGTTCAAAAACTGAACAAACCCATAACCCCTAGAATTTAAACTTCCCACCCCCATACCATACAAATTAAAAGGTATCACATAAAACAGTCGTTGAAACATCAAAGAATTACATAGTAAGAGTGATACGATCTGCGAGCCGGAGGATTCTAAAAAAAGCTCGCCATAGCAAGCGAACGATTGGATTTTTCAGTCATGGAAGAGACCATGGCTGCCAAAGATATAAAAGCAGAAGACTGTCATCACCACCAATAGAGACAACAAGCTATTATATCACTTGCTGCTAAAGAAGTCGTAGCATAAGAAAGACAGTTTAACCACGAAAACTTAAGGAGATGTGCATGGTACACAATGCAGTAAATACAGAAGAGTCATTGAATGGCTAAGGACGACAAAATTTGAACATCACACGCATTTCCTGATAGCGAAAGAATGAAGAAAACAATTATCATGGGTGCTCTTCCAAAAATTAACCAGACTTAAGCCACAACAGCGTATAAATACACTGTTGGACATAATTCACGAGCACACTCTATATAATCTGAACGCGTGAAGATAAATCCATGATATTTGCGGAGCACAAAGGTTTACTGTAGACGAGTTTATTCATCGAGTTTCGAGTTGTTCCGTCACCGCAGCATACGTCACGAGTGGGTCAACGCTAGGCATTAGTGGGTTGCCGAGTAGAGGGACATTTTGTTTTCCGACGAATCAAGATTCGAATTGAGCACCGGTGATGCGCGAATTTTAGTTCGTCGGTGACGTGGTGATCGTCTACTCGAGCAGTGCGTGCAAGAATGCCCTATCCACCGACAACCGAGCATTATGGTTTGGGGTAGTATTACACATGGTGGACGTACACGTCTGCTGCGTGTATAGCAGACCATGACGGGTCAACGATACGTAGATGAGGTGCTACGGTCCGTTGTGCTTCCCTACGTTCGGCGGCTCCCAGGTCTGCCATACATGCACGACAACGTACGACAGCACAACGGGCGTGTTGTACAGACCTTTGTGGAAGAGCACCGTATACGAATGCTTCCATGGCTAGCTCGGTTTCCGCATCTGAATCCGATCAAACATGTTTGGGAAATTACTGGTCGGAGACTTCTACGTTATCCGGCTTCCTCGGCTAACGTTGAGAAGCTATGGAGGCGAGTTGAGGTGGCATGGTTGGCCATCCCTCTTGCTACAATACAGCGACTTATAGACTTCATGCCACGTCGTGTAGCGATGGTACGCGAAGCTCACGGGGGATACTCTCGCTATTGATGTTTCTCCTCCCTGCAGAGTTGTGCCGCTCTCCATGTAAGAGTAAGTTACACTACTTTAGTACTACTTTCATACCAAATTTTATTGCGCTAGACACACGCGTTCAGATTATACAGGGTGTGCTCGTGAATTATTTCCAACAGTGTAATAATATGTATGAAAATAATGGTGAGAGCAGCAGAGTATAGAAAAATTTTGCGAAATAATCACAGCAAGAAGGAGAGACATTTCTGTAAAGTGTTTCAGTTTCAACGGGGACTGTCTAGTCAGCTACAAAGACTATATTTCACATACATCGATGGACTACAAATTCAAATTCATTTAGTTGTGCTTTAAGATATCTTCCTTTACACTCGTCATGGATTACTTAGTATTAACAAAAAATACATATATTATATAATTACAAATTGACAAAAAATTACATAGTTTCGAAAGCAGTTACAATTAAAATTCAGACACAACATTCTGTGTTTAGGAATTCCTCAACAGAATTGAAAGCGCCGCATAATAAAAATGGCTTTAAACGCCGCTTCAAAGAGTCATTTGAGAGACTTTTCGCGTCAAGCGGTAAGCGATTAAACAATTGCTGGGACGTATATATCGGGCCCCGTTGAGACTTTTGTAATCTGCAAAAATTAGTCCGAATATCATGCTTGCCTCTTGTGTCATAATGATGAAAATTAGAACAGATATCATAGGAGTGCTTATTCTTATTGGCATATAAAATTGCTTCCAAAGTTAAAATGTTTAGCCTCTTGAAGAGAGATTTGCAGTTCTCCGTAAAACCGACCCCACCAAGCACACGGATAGCTCTACGCTGGAACTTGAAAATATGACTACTAGCTGGAGTATTTCCCCATGCCAATATACAATATGTCAAAAGCGAGTGGACTAAAGCATAGTATGCCATTCTTGCAGTATCAGGAGGAACCGTATCAACTACACGTTTCAGTGTGTAAATGTTTCGGCTCACCTTGGCCCCCACAGCTTGAGCATGCTCGTCAAAACTTAATTTTGGAGCAGTTACAATTACGCCTAAAAACTTAGTGCTGCTGGGATTCTGAGGGGGAAGATCTCTAAGGCCAAGTGACATATGTACCGTTTTAGAGTTATTAAGAGAAAGTTCATTTGCTACAGTCCAATCATGAACTCTACGCATCACATTATCCGATATACGGTGTAAATCATCAATGCATGGACTACGAATCAACAGGGTAGCATCATCAGCATAAAGAAAGCATTCAACATTGTTCCCAACATCATAGGGTAGGTCATTAATAAATAATAGAAACAGCAGAGGCCCAAGAATTGACCCCTGTGGAACCCCTCTACGTACGGGAATGCGATTTGAGACTTTAGAATCACAGTTTACGCATTGATTCCTTCCCTCCAGGTATGACATAATGAAATTTAAACTATTACTGTCAAAGTTATAAACTGTTTTAAGTTTTTCTAAAAGAATTCTATGCGATACGCAGTCAAATGCTCGCGATAGATCAATAAATATACAAGAACGGATGAGTAATCTTCAAAACACGCAATCTTGAGTTTCTCATAACTCGTAAATCCAAATCACTAGTCTGATACCAATTTGTTTGACATTACTTAACATCATGTACAGCTAAGCAATAGAAACCATTACCCACCAAAACTTCCAAAAGCTTCAAGGTTTCAATAACCAAAGCTTGGGTCAAAGTCCAAAATAAATACATTTATTAGACAACAAACAAACTCGATTTCTATAACTCTTTGAAACTATTAACAATTATTATCGACTGATTGTGAGACGATAAACAAAACAACTAGAATTCAGAAGAATGTTATCCGATACTTCAACAACATCATCTATGCCTTTGTATATCTTTCAAAACCGATAGGTTTTTATGTATCCATTTGGAAATCCTGAATATCACAAATAAATCTCGCAATCTACTTTGTTCAACATTATAACACAACATTATACACAATGATCATCCCACAAATATCTCAAATTCGTCAAAACTATCAGAAATGGAATATCAAATGTAGCATAAACAAACCAACCTAGTCAATCTGTCACAATTACAAATTTCACAGAATATCTATACTCAACACTAATAAAGAATTTAATACATACAATAGATCAATATGACAGATCACAAAAATAATGTGAGGTTTAAGAAATAAGGATGACCATCTGGATATTCACCATGTAAGGCAAATTGAGACCGAATAAAAATATTAGTAGGCACTTTTAAGGGGACATTTAGCTTATCCTATTTTTAATAGAATGACGTCTTGTTTTTTATGATAGTGATGAAATTATTGGTGCACCGCATTTTTAGCCAAGTTTGACATTTTTCTGGCTCAGCATATAAACATGTATAGGCATTTTGACAATGGTAAAGGAATGAAGGATTGTCGTAGTCAAATCAAATGCTAATAGATTGTTTGGCAAGTAATTTCATTCTTAACTGCAACTTTACACTTAAGTCGCATAATCATCATATATTTTCACAGCTGATTGTTTCTATGTAGTAGTTTTTGGTTGGTGCATTTTCGGGATTATTTACTTTTTTAGTACTGAAAAGGTAAAAATGCTGTTCAAGCAAGAAAATCCGATGTGTATGGAGAAGATGTATTGACAGAATGTCAGCGCCAAAACTGGTTTAAAAAATTTCCATCCTGCAATTTTGATGCTGAAGGTACACTAAGGTCTAGAATGCCAGTTGATGCTAAAGAAGACACAATAAATGCGTTAATCGAATTCGTCCGTTCATGTTCTTACAGAAAGAAATATGCCGTAGTGTTGATGTCTGTGATTTTTGAAGCGCATCTGGGAGTTAAAGATATGAACTGAAATAAGATCGAAAGATAATATTTATAAAAAAAAGTGATGCTATCTGTTTGGAATCGTGTTTTTTAGCATCTACCGGACAACACAACTGAACTGTTATCAGCTGAACAAATTGAATGATTCACTTAATCAGAATAAAGAATAATCTAATAGAAAAGCTGCACTATTCAACCAAGATAATGCGAGAGCTCAGACAAGGTTAGTAACTTGCTAAAAGCTTTTACAGCTTGGATGGGATATGCTGCAACACCCACCATATACTCCAGATTTGCACCTTCTGATTATTATTTGTTCCGATCTCCACAAAATTTTTAAGACGGCAAAACCTTTACTTCGAATGAGGAGGTCAAAAATTACCTGGATTGGTTTTTTGTTAGTAAAGATCAGAAATTTTATGATTATGGAGCCAGAAAGATGGCAAGAGGTATTGACCAGAATGGACAATATATAACTTAATAACATATTTATACACTATAAGAACATCGTATTTCATTTTTATAAAAAAAAAGAAATCACTTTTCGAATAACCCACTGGCAACATATGCTTGCTTTCCATATTCACCCTTTTGATTGGTAAATGTGCTGCAGAATGTTGTATAGAAGAA